TCCTTCCTTGATTCTTTTTACTCGTACTTCTACGCATATACGAGTATACTCGTTTGTATATTATTTATTATAAATTAATTTTCAATAAAAAATTAAAATGAATGTACACATAATGAAAGCTTTATTCAATGTAAAGTTTGTATCGCAAATACAAATTGCTTTTAAATTTCGTTTCCGCTTTTAATTTTTTATTTGTTTTAACTTTACAATTAAGCTTTTAAAGCTTTCAAATACTCTGATATCGGAATACTGTAAGCATTGTTATTCATAAAGTTGAGATTAAAATCAAAGTTGGTGCGAGGAGTTTTTAATAGTTCTACAAATGGATTTCGTATTCATTTTCTCGTCATGGAAATGTACTTCAATAAAACCAATTTAATAACACAAAAAAATAATTAAAAATACAAGGAAATAATAGTCACGCTATAAAAAGGTTGACGTATGTAAAATGTATTTGAAACACTTTATTATAATAAAGCCCTTAATTTTTGTACACACTCAAGTATTTATAACTTCTGTCTTGTGATTTATAAGTATTTTTGAAATAGAAATACGTAATAATGTCTGTAAGAACTGTAACAATCTTGTGCAATTTCCTGCTGTCCGTCCATCCTTCCCGTATAAGAAAAAGTCGTCGCCAAAGCAATTTAATCTTGCCCTACATGCGGAGCTGAGAGGTCGCGAGTAACATTTCACATACGATGAACTAAGAGCGTCGGTGGCTCAGTGGTCAAGCACTTGACTTACAATCTGCAGGTCCAGGGTTCGAATACCGCCATGTACCAATGTGTTTTTAGATTTTCGATTTACATATGTATTATACATTTATCCAACGTTCCTACGGTGAAGGATAACATCGCAATGCAAAACCTGCACATATCTGAGAAAAATTCAAAGATATGTCTGAAGTCCACCAACCCGCACTTGGCCAGCGTGGTTGACTATGGCCTAATCACCCTTAACTTAAGGTAGGCTTCTAGCCCCTCGGTGGGGATGTATAGTGAGCTGATGATGATGAAACTATCTTGTATACTGGTTATCCGTAACGAATAAAATTTTATATTTAATAAATAATTGAAGGCTGAATTTAATATACTACTATATTATTCGATCGCCTTCAAACCAACAGATGTTTTTCAATCTCAGTATTGTTAAATTTACCTGTGTTCAGGCTAAGATTTTATATTTTTTAGCGTTTATATAAACAAACAGTAAGGATCAATTCGAAGCTTTGATTTTAGATGGGTAGGTTAGGTTAGACTACGCTACGTTAAAACAAGACCGTTCTATTCACTGTAGCATGGTCTACGACTTACTACGAAAACGTAGCAAATGTAGGATAGAAAACGAACAAACAAATTGAACAATATTCTAAGTTCAAGCTCGTATCATATTTCAAGTGTAAGCCACAGTGGGTTGTTATCTTCAAGTTTGGATAGTTTATTGTCAAACTGTTTACAACATTTATAAAAGTTGTTTAGATATTCTCGTGGGATTTCAATGTAGTTTATTTAAAACGACAAACAAATTTGTTATGATTATTATATCTTGATACGAAAGAAAGTTAATGCTCCTGATTTACTTTTTATGATAAAGGATTATTGGCACATCAACCTATTTTCCACACCTTCCATCACTCGTTTTAACAGACTTGGCTAATCTTACTTTATCTTTTTGGGTGGATGGATGGATGTTTAAAGGTATCTCCGGAACAGCTGCAAGGATATAGGCGACATATTAATTTGTTTTTTAATTCGATGGGATGGAGTCGCGGGCGACATCTAGTATTAATATATAAAGCGAAATCAACCTTACTTATCGTTAGTTTCTACTGCTAAAATACATATATAAAAAATATATCTGACTCTGTCATTCTTTTAACATAAAACAGAGATGATATACATCTTGTACAGATGTCTCGGCAGTGGAATTTCACAGTTAGGTTATCTCCTGGATAACATTAAGTAGACATAAACAACAATATCGTACAACAATTTCCAACAAAATATTTAAGAACGTCTAATACCGTCGTAAACGCGTTGTAAACGCGAACAACGATCTCTAAATCCCCAGCAATAACAATCACACTTCGCAGTTAAAATTTACAAAACAGACGCCAGACTTTCTGCTTCGGAAGCCATTAGTAGCGTTCGATGATATTTGTTCGCTCAGAGATGCTTTGGCCGACGTCCAAATAAAAAAGTTACAGTTACGTCTAATATAATAACTTAAACCAATCGTACTCGACATGACTAAGATCTATTTTTAATAACTTAATTATTTATTGTCACAAATATACTTGGTATTAAGTAATTGCACAATTACATTACTCTTTCCATACCCAAACTTTATATTATTAGACAAAATGTAAGCCCTTTATTGAGTAGGAATGTTATCCCATATGGCGTTACGTGACTGCTATTCTTATCGCTGGTTTCTGAGACTAATAACTCCGTTTAAAAATTATTGTTATCTCTGTATAATAGTATGTTTTATACAGAAATGTTGGTCTCAGAAACTCACGGTTCTACATCTACAATAACATATATAATTGCTTTGCCTATCTAGAATTAAATTATTTGGGTTCATAAGTTAGAAACGTTAGTTTTACCAAATGCTAGATGCCATTGAAAGAACGGTAAAAAAAAAATTATATCATAATGTGGCAAACGAGCGAGCGGCCACCTGAAATCGCTGATATAGCGAAGTGACCGTTGCCCATAGACATACGCAATTGCATATGCGTTGTCTACCTTTAATCGGTGGAGGAGAGGATGCAAAGAAAGAAAATATTTTTCCTTTCCATGCATCCTCTCATCCGGAAAGTCCACTTCCACTTCCCATCTTTCCTTATAAGAAAAAGGGTGGGAAGGGAAAGAGGACTAAATTAGGCCTCCGGAACGCACACTCATCAGACGAAACGAGGAATTGCTTCCACTTCACGCCTGTCTCCAGTAAATATGGCAGTAAGTTATCTGCACTTACGATTAAGCTTCAAATAACAGTTATAGTGTGTTATTTGTCCTCTCTTTGTCATTTAAGATTATGCCTATATTACTGTTATAAAATTTAATTTATAACCTACTTTATAGTTTTACAATCAACACCATAATAATACTGTAGTTATAAAGTTATATAATGTTGGATGTCAGCCAAAATGTATTATCCACTCCTATATATTTTGCCTAATTCTCTATGCGTTATATGTTGATAGGTTTTCTTTGTAAGTTGTAACTTTGTTGGCGTAACGGGAGCCAATAAATAGAGTTCGTAAAAGGAGGAGGGATGACTGTTTATTCTTAAACTTTAACAAAGTATGTAAGGAGTTTGGAACGTGTTTAATGATGTGGTAAATTTACTAAGAATTAGTTTTAAAGGATTAAAATTAATGGACTTCTTAACTTTAATGCAAATTACTTAAAAAGTTGCTTAAAATAACTGTATACCTTACCTCTCGTCTCGGCCCTTGATAATTGGTTCGTTACATTACAAATAGCAAATATAACTTGCTTAAAGTAGCAATCGTGTTTGGATAAAAAAAAAAACAAAACACAAAAGAAAGACATGGTTACATCAGACAACGTGATTTCAGTTACATCACGTATCAATTCCCTGACCCAATATCCAATGATATTGACCCATTAAGTAATCCATTCCGAGAAGCAACACTTCGCGGCTACACTTTAAGCGCTTCTAGCCAATGACATCGCTGACAGCTAAGATTGCACTGTCTGCGGTCACATTGGATGGTTGATTTAAAGTGGAAAAAACAGTTAAGAGTATTTTATTACTAGCGATCACTAGCGACTCCGACCGCACGGAGTTAAAAAACAAAACACAACCAGATGGTTATGTGTTCTTCCCGAGTATGTATATGTAAGCCAAATTTTATCGAGATCCGTTCAGTGGTTTTTATAATAGATACTTTCAAAAAACATCTATCCATCTAAACATTGGCATTTAAAAGATTTTTATGTAAATTAATTCTTTCGATTAATTTGTAAGCTTAGATGGCTGCATTGATATATGTTTGAGAGCTTAAGGCATATCAAATGCGTATAAAAGCTTATTTTTGATTGTATAAGTACTGGTAAAATAACTTATTTGCAGAAATTTCACAGTTCGTTAGTTTGTACGCGTCATTAACAGACCTTTCTTGTTTTATATCTTTAGCAAAAACAAACGAACTCAAGTGTAGAGGCTGAATTGAGGCAACATTTATACGATAGTATAAAAAGTTATGTACGTAACATATTCTTTGAAATAAAATACATAATTTTATTTTTAATAGTAGCAGATTTCTTTTTGGAAATTTACTAATATTTCTTTTACCATTGCAACTAAGCTCTAGGCTTGTGCTAGGATATGGTATACGACAATAGTCGAATGTCGGGATTCGAACTCCCGACCTCTAGATTATATTGTAATTGATAATTATTGTAGATATTTAATTAAGCTTTATGGAAGTTATTTTTAAAGGGCTTTTTAAAATGATGAACGTTTTATTTTATTTTTATCGCTTTAATGCTTTTTATTCCGTTTCATATTGGGTTAATATTTTTATACTCTAGTAAACTTATACGATCAATAAATATTCATGTAATGTTTGGTTTCCTACAAATACGTAAATCTATTTGAAAAGCATGAGAGCAAACATAATATTTTACATACGGCTCTACTTCTTTCTTTTTTATTTATCATTATTTCCGACTATTTCTTTGTACAAAGATAATTGAAAATAATTTGTCATTATTGTATTGTTCGCAATTAGCCATAGAAATAAACACAATAAGCATTCAAGACCCTCCAAAATCTATCAGCGGATATAAACGGCAAAGAACGGCCTATCGCCTCTAATGAACCAGAATCATTTGAACTCCCCAGCCCCTCGCGGAGTCAATAAAGTTAGACGTCCGAGGGGAAAACGGATATACTATAAGGGTCAGCGTATATTTGCCAGGTAATTCCGATGGCAGGGTTATTCAGTCGTATGAGAGACGTCGCAGAGTAAAGACGCTTTGTAGGTGCGTGCGTTACTGAAGTTTGCGCACATCTTACACTAGTTTTATTTATTTTTTTAATTCCTGTGCAACGCTCAAGTGGTACTTGGTGCTGGCATTTAAAGTAAGCGCACTTAGGTAAGTCAAGATATATGCTTTTTAAAGTAAAAAGTAACTTAGCAATTAAGTTAAGAAAAAATTGTAACTTAATTTTTTCTTTCTAATATCGTTTCTGAAACATAGCATTAAATAATATAGTTGGTTATATTTTTCAATCATACTAAAACTACGGTTAAATTAATTTTTCATGGAATAATATAAATTTGATTTCACTGGTAACTTTAATTTGTAAAATTTGATTAAAATTAAATTATAAAATAGAATTTAATGTGTTTCTTTATTAATTAATATAATACTTAAATAAATAATTAAGATATATTTAAATTAAGATTCGAATTTAATTGATTTCATCATCATCATCATCATCAGCTCACTATACGTCCCCACCGAGGGGCTCGCAGCCTACCCTAAGTTAAGGGTGATTAGGCCATAGTCAACCACGCTGGCCAAGTGCAGGTTGACTTCACACATATCTTTGAATTTAGTCTCTTAATTGATTCATAAAAAGTTATTTTTTTTCTTTTGATAAAAAATATACGATTTTTATTAAAATAGTTCATTAAAATAAGTTCTGCTGCCAATTAATTTCAAACCGTATTCTTAATGTATTTTCTAGATGAATATTTAATTATTTTAATGACCTATTAGTAGCTTACATTATATTAAAAACGCTAATGACAACAACAGAATACATTTTAAAATATTTGATTTTTTTTAGTTATAGGACAAACAAAAGCCAAAAATTTCACAAAGGCATGTTAAAATTGTCATGCAGAACTCAAAAGTTACTAATCTCTTTAAAATAATAAAACCAGAAACAATTGAAAATTTCACTGAAAATTCAGCCGGAATAGTGTTACGTTTTCAATTAACTTTTTTTACAGACGACATAAATATTCAAGAGGCGGTCAAAAGGTTAGCCTCGCATAGCATGCAATAAATTGTTTTTGAAATTGGTCTATTTTGTTTTATTTTTCACTGTTACATGAAATTTAGAGTGTTGGAAATTGCCAGTGTTAATAATAGTGAATTTTATTTTACTAAAATAAAAAAATCATTTCTAGATTATTAGTGTACGAGTAACTATTTAAAACCTGTCTAGTTAATATTAATCTATGTTATCATTTAATCTTCTTGCTTATCATCAAACGAGATTAATTTATTTGATATTTATTTGAGATGTGTTCAAAATAATACAAGAATATAAACTATTAAATGTAATATAAAGTAAATGATAGTCCTTCGAGCCGGATATTCCATAGAACTAGGCTTTTATAAGGACATTACATTATCGTATAGATTTTCACACTAGCTGTCACCCGCGACTTCATCCGCGCCGTAATAAAAAACTTAATAAGTACCCTATGTGCTTTTACAGACTATGTTCTACATCTGTGCCAAATTTCAGCCGGATCCGCTTAGCTATTCTGGAGATAACAATTTGAAGAAATATGATTTTTTCTAAGGTGTAGTGCTCAGTCTCTTATATTCATACATGCCTGTGATAAAATAGTAACAAACTTATTGTGTTCACAACTATAAAAAAATGTGTACCATTCTCCAAGCTCGATTGACATTTCGGTCAATTTAACTACCGTACAAACGTAACGAACCGAGTTATTTGGTTTCAAAGTAAAATGTCACGATGGTTGATATTTTTAGGCTATACAATGTTTTTACAATAATAGTTGAAATATTTTGAAAGCATTTAAAAAGAAAAACATAATCAAATGTTAAAATACTGTAGTTTCAGGTTAGTTCCTTTTTAAAAAGATTTAAAGACATCAATCGCGGTTGCCTATCTCGATGTTAGTTTGTTTGTCCCAACTTCTATAAAAAAATTAGATAGTTTCAAAAATAAGTATTTATTAACAGAAAAAATGTTTTAATAAGAAGCAAAAAAAAAGCGTCATAATAAGACGTAACTCAAACAATAAATGTTTTCACAAAAATTTATCTCTACATAGAGTTTCACAAAACATTCAAAAGCCTTGTAAAAATCAGGTAAAACTCTAAAAGTCATTTATTTCAAAGTGAGGGTATGTTTTTGTTAATCTCCGAATTAATGAATGTAGGATGGAATCTCAACATTTAAATGTAGAGAGATCTTAAAACTGTCCTTTGAACTGTCGCTTAATGTAATGACGGTATATTTTTTCTTCATTCAAAGATTATATTAAAAAGAAAAGATTACTTAAGTCGACATCAACCGAGGTGTTGAACATAACGTTAAGAGTCACTTAGCCTACTTAAAAATAAACGTTTGGATTTTTTAAAGACGTACAGAAAAAAAAACTATTATTTCGTACTTTAGTTGAAATAGTTTTTTCTAATTAATTGATACTCTATCTTTTACTATTTCTTACACACAGAAGACAGGCGTGAAGTGGAAGCAAGTCCGCGTTTCGTCTAATGAGTGTGGGTCCCGGAGGCCTAATTTAGTCCTCTTTCCCTTCCCACCCTTTTTCTTATAAGGAAAGGATGGGAAGTGGATGTGGACTTTCCGGATGAGAGGATGCATTGAAAGGGAAAATATTTTCTTTATGTGCATCCTCTCCTCCGTCGATTAAAGGTAGGCAACGCATATGCAATTGCGTATGTCTATGGGCAACGGTCATTTCGCTATACCAGCGATTTCAGGTGGCCGCTCACTCGTTTGCCACCTTATGATATAAAAAAAACTTTTTTATGCAAAAGACCAAAAGATTTATTAAGGTTTTGCAATAAAAAACAATCAAAACGTGTCCTTATATCCAATAAATTTATTATTTACAAGTTTCAGCAATAAAAAAAATTTTTGACCTACAAACAGATGGAAACAAGGTTTCGCTTTTTTCGTGTTATTAAATAAAACTACATTTAAAACTGCTAAAATGTAAAAGCCATAATGATATGGCCAATGTATTTGTGTTATACCAATACGAATAGAAATGAAATCGTGCAATTTCTTTTATTGAAATCTCGTTACATAAGTAAAGTTAGCCGGATTGTGCCAAAGCAGGATATTTGGCTCAAAGCGCACTAAATGAATCGACTCTGAAATTGCAATGTGCCGATACTCCAAATGGCTGTATCTTCATGTAGCCCGTCTTCTATTTTTTAAAAATAATGTTATTCTTACGTCGCGACAAAGACTTTGAATATATTAAGATTTATCTCCATTTTTTGACCATTTAAAAACTGTGAAATAGTGTAATTTGCGACTGTTTTTAACTTCTTTATAAAATTCTTATGTCACAATGTTAGTTGCCATATTTCTTCGAAACGGCATGAACGATTTTTATAAAATTTTATATGTATATTCAGTAGGTCAGAGAATCGGCTAGTATCTATATTTTAATCCTGAGCAGACGGAATCGCAGACGACAGATAATAATATAACAACGAAATTCAAAAACAATCTATGTCTCGAGATGTAAACCCGTAGTTTTAAAACTTAGGTAACGATCCAAATTGTTTCTCAATATTCAAAGACTTATTTAGATATTTTCCCAAGAAAAGAAATGAATCCTAGGAAAAATGTGCTAAATTAAAAAAGTAAAACGTAAAACGCTTTGAAATGTCTCGTCATTTTGGAGCGTGCGGTCCGCCGCGGCTAAGTATGATTGTCATTTAAATCTTTGTAGAATTAAATGCGGTTCTATTTCACGCCTTCACAGACGAAAAGATTAAATTATCTTTTGACAGGTTTATCTTAAATTCTAAGCCTTAAAGTGGTTTTAGTTTTTTATAAAAACTATCAAGAAAATTACTAAATCTATTTTAACTGAACATAATATCATCTTCAAGAAAAAAATCGAATGGAAAAACGTTCAAGTTAATTGGTATTGCCCCGCCTTTCTCTGTGTGTATTAAAAAAAAACTGAGCTTTTGTTTAGTTGAGAAGTTGTTGAGTCAATTTAAAGACAAATCTATCGCACCGTAAATTCCTCCAAGATATAAACGAAGATTTTATTGGATTTGAACTGAGGTCAAAATAATGTAAAGAAGAGGCACAGTTATCTTACACATATAAGAATCACGTTACAAATATAATTATAAAGGGTCTAAAAAGGTATCATTAAGGTCGTGTGATCCGAACACATTTTCTCTTAATTAAAACAGGCAAAAGGATTTCAGTACACGACTGTTTATTTTTAAAATGTTACAGATTTTGTTACATTCAGTTGTATACTTATTATTAATATTATAAATGCGAATGTTTGGATGGATGGATGGACGTTTGTTTGAATGTATCCACAGAACGGCTCCATGGATATCGCTGAAATTTGGCATAGATGTAGAAAATAACCTGGAAGAACACATAGGCTACTAAGCAAGTTTTTTTTTTAATTCCGCGGAGACGGAGTTGCGTGCGATAGCTAGTTAGCAATAACCATAATAATTACAAATGTTTAAAAAAACATTATACTGTCTCAGTTTTTTCAGAAGCAATGAGAGGGATAACAATATGTAACGTACTTACGACTTTCGACAGTGGAAACTCTCATAAAACAAACAAGGAATGCTTACGTCATTTGTTTCATATTAATTTGTTTTCTAATTGCATTGTTTGAGTACTTATATGGAAAGATAGTGTCATCTCTCTCATTTCCTATAAACAAAACAGAGATAACAGGTTTTATACAACTATTTCGGCAGTAAAGCTATTTACGATACTGCAAAATAAACTTGTATTCCAGGAAAATGTTTATCTCCTTTTTCCTTATGTTCCATTAAGGTAAATTGATAATAAATAAATTGATATGGCCGTAGTTCTAATAAGATAAAAAGGTTAAACATAACTAACACATATGTTTGTTATTTAGGCTCCCCGCTTTTCGATAATTCACGTTTACATACTTTACTATGACATATCGTTCAACAATAGAAAAAAAAATTGTTAGGAAGAAAATCCGACACTGTGCATCAACATTAATCAACATTTATGTCCTAACTAATCGATCTGACATTTGACTTTGTAACGAAAGCGCGTCATTTCGCTTTAATTGATTCTAACTAATAATGTCTAAATTATCAAAACAACACGTAATTTTAACAAGAACTACTGCCACAGAGTCATGTTATAATCGTTATTAAAATCTGCACTAAAGCGCTGCTTAAGTAACTATAAGCAATTCTGTTTACACTGAAACGCTTATCTACAAACAATCAAATACCACAGAGTTGATCGAACGAACACTGGCTACTGTTAAATTCAATCCTACCAAAATTTAAATCACAAAGATACTATGTGCCTACGAAGTTTACGATGGTTAAAGCTTGTTTAATGTTAATTAGGCTCACTACACTCTACTATAACGTATGAGATAGTTTTTTAAATGACCTCTTTATTTGTATTTTGCTCGGAGACTCCAAACTTACATCAATAATATAAAAACGCCTAATGATTTACTTCGTAGCAGCTCAATGAAAATTTTAAGAAATCGTCATTTCCTTAATAAGAATAATAAAGTGATTTTTTTATGTAACTAATTTTTGTTTGTGTAATATACGATACGATATAAGAGAAAATAATAAAGGCCTTATATAATAATTTACTTACTTAAGAGAATTAAGGGTCTATGTTAAATTAATATTGCAAGCGTAGTTTTTTTATGCATTGCAGTGACAAGTACAGTCAGCTGCATAATTATGTATACATTTACAAACCTTTGAATACTAGTAAAGGCCTTCTATTTTTGAAATGTATGCACGTTTTCAATAGCATGTATTCATCATCTTAAGCATATAGAAGGATATGTGCATATATATTTTTTTAACCGAACGCTTATAAAAGTTTTTGAAGTTATGTAAATGTATACATTTATGTAGCTGACTGTACAATATATTTGTTTGCAGTAAAATGTCGAGCACGTGGTTGTTGTGTGCGGGCGTGGTGCTGTTGGCGGGCGCGGCGAGCGGCATCAAATGCTGGCAATGTGGCCAGTACAGCGACGGTGTTGGCTCCATCACACCTTGCAATAACCGCAGCGCCACGCGCCTCGCTGATTGTCCGCCAGCCGCAAAGTACTGCATTGTAAGTACTTAGTCGTAGAGTCTATCTTCATCATTAGCACATCAGTAGGTCCACTGTCTTTAGGCTTTTCCCCGATGTCTAATAAATTATGTAGTCTTTGTATGTGTCTCCATAGCTCCAAGACTTGTATCACATGTGTTGGCTGGACATGAATTAGCTAATTTCCAGTTTATTTTGGTATATTTCAGGTAGCTATTAGACTAAGATCAGCAGCCTGTCAACTTTACATTGAAAAACATTTATTTTAGTCTTCACTCCTCGCTTAGTTACCTGACGTTTTCTAGAATGATCAGTCAGCATATAGCTAAGAGTATTTTCATAAAACATAGTAGGTTAGGTATAGATCTATTCCCAATTACAAAATAAAAAAACTTTACTTCGTTGAATGACAGCATCATTTCATTTGACGGAGTAGTTTAATCAATTCAGTGAGCTGTCGATCAAGATAATTTACGACTCAGGTTGATATTCTAATAAATCTCACCTTTTATCTTACAAGTTTTGTTGATGTCCTAAAATTAGAAGACTTTTTATACTTTAACTCTACATATTTCATTTGTTTGTTGCAGAAATACGTGAGTGAGTTGACAGTGGTCCGTGACTGTGTACCGACATGCACAGAGAAAGGTAATACTAACGCGATATACTAATATTATATAGTTAAAAATACTTTGTATAATGTTAAAAATGTATTTATACAAAAGCCATGTCTAGAGGCACGCGCTCAATTACCAAGTGGAAACATAGCTTATGTTAATACTACTATTTTTATATAGAATGGTGGGGCGCTCGAACCTTCTGCTGTGAATCGGACGAATGCAATTCAGCCTACATACATACTTCTGCGACCCGCTTTGTCTTCGCAGCACTCGTGTTGGTTGCAGTCATTGCGCGCTGACGGATTCAAGATATTACTTTGAGTTATTTGAACTTATCCTGAGTTTTTACACAGTACGATGAATGTGTTTTATTGAATCTACTGTTAATGGTGTTATAGCGTCAAAAGTGAATGACAAAGACCATTAAGAGTGGATTATTATTCATTTTATGTTTACTGTTATTTAATTTTTTAAACGATTTTTTTTTCATTTTATTGAAATACATATTATGAAGTTATTTCAAGTTATAAGAAAAGTATTTGATTGTCTTTTCTTTATGTCATTTGAGTATTTAACAAATGGATTTGTATCAAACATCATTTGGTTGTTTTTAAAAATATGCATACATTAGGTTTAAACGTCTACTAAGCGACATTTAAAAGACATTTGCTATTTAAAAAAAAATATCTCTCTGTTATGTTTTATTTTCTTACATATTCTAGTATTTTATTCGTCGTTATTATTGATAGTTTTTTTGGAAAAATGTTGCACAATTTTTTTTTTTTTAATTTATATTTTTTATTACATTTCCTATTATACAAAAAAAATAATAATCTATTTAATATTAAAAAACCAAACGCTTTATAGAAATTCTATCACATATGTACATCAAGAAACTGAATTATTCTAAATTATCATTAAATTATTAAAGTAATTTAGATCCTAGCAAATAGGAAATAAGGTCTAAATTGTAATGTAAGGAAATAGTCAAATTATTAAAAATATACGCACTTTAAAAAAATATTAAAAGTGTTTTTGAAAACATTAAAAGTAAATGCTTTATAGGAGTTTTAAGAACTTTTGTTAAAACTCAAAACTTAGAAATTTATCAGATTTTTTTCATTGATAAAGGATTATTTATAAAGTTGATTTATTCCAAATAAATTTTCAGTCTAGAAAATATAAATCAATATAATCTATTTGTACCTTTTAAAATTGCTTTTATTCTACTATTATATAAAATGCCGTTCATTTAAAAATATCGGTTTTTTTTAGGCACTGCGAAAAATGTTTAAACATATATTTTAAATTATCAAGTTTTGATAATCATGCTTTAGTAGAACTCTGAGTACAACTTAAGCAATACTTAAATATAAGTACAACTTTACAAAACATTACGCTATATTAGATTTTGTTCCTAGATAAATAAAGACCAATTTATAACTCAATTGCATTTTATTTACATCCTACTTAATTTTCCCATTAATTAAAATCCAATTATAGTTATGACAACGAAATTAATAATAAATATTATATTGTATCGATATTGTCATATGTAATGAGATCCACATCCTTATCTTATAAGGAAAAAAACGAACTAATTCTTGGGACAATGCTTAATACCACAAAGACGATTAAAAAAAAGTGTTAAAACAGATGAACTATACAAGCTAATAAACGTGTTAGATATAATCTTTCTTACATTAGAAATAAAAGATATAAAAGGATCGATCGATGTCAGGATGGGTATCCAAAACGACTCAATGGATCTTGATGAAAGTTAACACGGATGTAGAATAGTCTGGAAGGACACTTAAGATTTATTTATTATTCCACGTGGACGGAGTCGCGGCAACTCGTAGTTCAACAAAACAGGTAATTTCAGCTCGAAAGCGAATTGAAAACTTTTCATTTCCTTTTGTAAATTCGATGCTTCTAATATTCCAGTCAATAATTTTGCAGCAAGAAATTCAAACTTATGTTCGTATTTACAACTATAAATATTTAGTATAATACTAGTTAGATCTTTGATTTTGAAATTTATATAGTTTTTACAGAATAAAAGAAAATGAAATACAACATAAAATTCTATGAAATAGTCATTTTATATTGAAAATATATTATTATTTGTAGAAGTATAATAATAAATACAGCTTTGTCCGTGCCGTTGTAGAATCGTTAACAGGTTACTCGTTTCCTTTTGACAAATCGCTTTTTAATGTCTGCCTTGTCTGATATAACTTATTGCGCCTTTTGTCGCTTAATGGTTCATAACAATAATGCAACGAATTCATTCAATAAACAAAGAGAGTACGTTTTATTTTTTAAATTTAAAGTGAAAAAAGAACATGCGGCCACCTGAATTCGCGGAAATAGCGAAGCGACAGCTGTCCATAGACATCTGCAATTGCAGATGCGTTTCCTGAGGATATTTCCTCTACTTCTCCTCTGTCAAATCCACTTCTCATTCCCATCACTTCTTTATTAGAATACCATCCTATTCAGAGAAAGATGACTTTGATTAGGCCTTCGGAATACGGTTTTAACTGTTGTAATGAAACAGCAGTATGAAACCTATTGTCATCCTTTTCGTCTTCTATGATAAGACGAAGACAACAATATGTTTGTCAGGTGGGTCATAGAAATCCTCGGCTTGCTATATCTATAGTAACTTTTATTTGATAAATAAATATAAGGCAAGATATAAAAGACAGTAATTTTAATTTTTACAATTCCGTAATTCATATCTAGTTGAGGTAGAGTTTGGCTTTAGGCCAGGAGATTTGATGCCGAGGCGCATAAATTGAAACAATCCAGCACATGCAAAATTTTTATGCCCCATTTCAAGTAAATTCTGCGATTGTATGCAAAAATCTTGGCAGAAATACGTAGTCAGTGAAGATAATTTCTTGAATAATAGTAAGAAAGTTTTATTTTAATTTGCATCGACACTTTTTACACGAATAACAAGAGGGTTTGTGTTGTTATCTTTAAACCGAACCTTCAGTGATCACAAATTGTAAGTGACGACTATAGATACCGCTGCAATTTCTGTGTTTCCTATAGAAATTATTTAATATTTCAATGGATTATACGCTAAACTACAAAATCCTTTGTTTCTCTAAGGCTAATTGTTAGTAACTACACATTTTTTTTAATTCTTTTTTTTTTTCAAGCTTAATATAAGTCATGAAGTGCAGAAAATTTTCTTCTTAACCTCATTCCTGAGTGAAGGCAACGCGTTACAAGGCCTTCGTTGGTAATTATACTTAAACATGTATTCGTACATGTTTTCAAATCAAAACTCCAAGTTTCGTAAAATAATCCATTAAACATAAGATTTGTATTATAATTTTTTTTATTTTATCTCCAATTTATTGATTGATATAATATAACTAGCTGTCGCCCTTGACTCCGTCTGCGTGGAATAAAAAAAACTTAACTAGTAGCCTATGTATTCTTCTACAAATTTCAGTGAAACCTCTTCAGCCGTTTTGGAGATACCTTCAAACAAACATCATCCATCATTCACTCATGCATCGGTACCTAATCGTTCAATTTTATAAAGTGTCGTAAAAATTACAATAAGCAAGTAATATTCAAACAAACGGAGCATTTAACATTAAAACTTATCAATTACAAACTTAAATTACAATTTTTCAAGGTCAAAATTTCAATTCGAAGTATTTCTGGTTATTGTCTGACTGAAAAAAAAAAACTTTTCAGCGCTCCTATACTTACAGAATGAAAACAAAGCTTCATTTACAGTTCGACGTGTGGAGACACTCAAGGTCATATAGAGGTCAAGTTTATTTTAAAGAAAAATAACTAGGCAAAGAAAGCTTTGTATATTTTACAATATATCGACTTCGTGTTTGATTCTAAAACTATCTTTATTATAAATAATCCCTTCACTCCATTCAGCTTACTAAAATAGTAGCAATCAAGACTCTCCAAAGATAATGGCCGCCTGACTCCGACGCTAAGGGTCGCATCAATAATAATTCTGTTACGTTTGTTGATACAAACGCCTTGTCGTGCAAGAATTTATTCTCTATGTCTTCGAGACAAAATCAGTAAGAATGTTGTTTATAAATGTAATTAATCAATCAAGGCGAGTTTGCTCAATTGATTTTTCTCCCTCAATTGAATAATGTTTGTAGGTTTATGTAGTAAGTTCCATTGTGACCTGTTTATAAAACTTACCGTGGGTTCCTCAGACCAAAGTTCCCGTTTAAAAATGTTGTTATGTCTGTTTTGTCAAATATGAAAGACAGGGATGACAATTTATAGACAGATTTTGGTGTCGGAAACCCACGGTTATTCGATTTCGAACTTTGGGGTTATCTTCCGATGAGTAACTTATAAGGTCATTCAGGTTTCTTAGTTTTTTAACTTAAAGAATATATTTAATCTTTTTATGAAAAAAAAATTACTTATTTAAAAAAAATATTTATTCAACACATCACAGAATTATAATGAGTTAAAAATTGCATTAGTTATATTTTACTTATTACCTATTCAAAGTAAAATATAAACAAAAGATACCTAGATTTCGTATTTCATTTGTCACAGTATTCAATTTTAATTTAACGCGCCAGCGCTACAGGCGGCAATTTTGTAAATTGCACCTCGCTACACCGGCGTCGATACACGCTGACAAAGTGACTGATCGATTACATTGTTTTTTATCAATACTGTGAGAGCTTATTTTGACGTTTATCCGTGGATTTGCTCAAAAAAAAAAGCATAACGAAGCGACCACCGACATCCGCAGATGTGTTGCCTATCTTTAATCGATGGAGGAGGGGGTACGCGGAAAGATAACATTTCCCCTTACTATGCGTCTCCTTCTCCGTCAAATCCACTTCTCCTTACTATCCTTAAGGTATGTGAAAATATCACAAATATTAAGACTGAATGTAAATATGACAAGCGTAATATTGATAATGTAACCTCTCTAACTAGTTTTGAGCAGCTGGTCGGCGCCGGTTTGGCGCTTTGCCAAAAATGTAACACCCTGTATAAGTGATACTTGAATTGCTTCATATAATCAAGATTATTACAAAATAATTCGTTTAGTAATTAATGCATTCATACAGCTGTACGTATTTAATTGTATTAGTATTATGTATTCAATAGAGAAATTACAAAATCTTAAGGTTGAAACTAATATTTGACAACGAAACAATTTTGTAACATTTTTGATCCACTTATTCGATTATAACAATCGAAAAATATGATCTACTAGCTGTGGCCCGCGACTCCGTCCGCACAGTTTAAAAAAAAGTTAATTATTCTTCCATAACTGTGTTCCACATCTTTGCCAAATTCTAGCAAGATCCGTGCAGCGGTTGTC